CTCCTTTTAGTTCTACCAGTTTTTGCATTTTACAGTTGTTATTAGTACGTATGCATTTATACTTGTTATGTCTTTTTGATTCATTGACCCTTTTCTTTATGAAATATCCCTCTTTATTTATGGTAATAATTTTGTCTTAAAGTCTGTTTTGTCTGATACTAAGGTAGCTAGCTAGTCCACCTCTCTCACTGTTTGCATGGTATACCTTTTCCCATCCTTCTGTTTTGCTGTCTTTTTATTTTAAAATGTATCTTTTGTAGTACAGAGCATATAGTTGGATCTTGCTAATTTATTCTGAGTAGCCTCTTAATTGGTGCTTTTACTTTTTACATTTAATGCTATTAATGTGTTTGGATTGAGGCCTGCCATTTTGGTATTTGTTTTCTATTTGGCTCATCTGTTTTTTAATTGGGAGCTCTGGTAGCATAGTGCCTAAGGCACTTGACTGCTAACCAGAAGGCTGGCGGTTCAAACTCACCAGCCACTCCTCAGAAGGAAGATGGGGCAATCTACTTCTGCAGTGATACTGCCTTGGAAACCCAAGGAGGGGTCACTGTGAGTCGAGTCGGCACATAACAACAACAACAACATTTTTTAATTCCTCTTATTTTGTTTTCCTTTTAGCTTAACTACTTTGCATTATTTTTTCAGTGGTTGCTCTAGGGAGTACAACATGCATCTTTATTACCATATACTTAAGAGTGAATATTACACTACTTCACATAAGATACAGGAAACTTATAGTAGAATAATTGCATTTCCCAACCCCTCCCTGCCCTCTGCTGTTCTTTGTACAAAATATTTTTGCATATAATTGTGGATAAGTTATTTCTTATTACTGAAGATTGTCCTTTTTGTAAATATACCAATGGATCTCTATGGGTCAAAAGACATGTGTTCTGGTTACCTAGTGCCTCTCTGACAAGAATATACCACAAATGGGATGGCCTTAACAAACAGGAGTTTATTCTTACAATTTGAGACTTTAAGTCCAAGTTCAAAGTGCCAGCCTCTAGGCGCTGGGTGAAAGACCCTCAACCTTGGGGTCCAGGTCTGCCTCCTGCTCCTGGCCCACTGGAGCTAGAGGCATTTCTTCACTCAGACAGCTGTTGGCTGCTGAGCCTGAGAAGCCCCAAGGTTGACAAGTAAAAAGGCACAGTCCCA